GGCCCCGGCCCGGAGCCCCGGTGCCGGGCAGCCCCCGGACCCCGGCAGGCAGGGCAGGGAAGGGAGAGCTCGCCTGCCTCGCCCTGCCCGGTGCGGTACCCTGCGCTTGCCCCCGAGCGATCTTCCCACCACGGACGCACACACTCACCCCGCTCGCCATCGCGCACGGYTGCAGCTGCTGGCGGAAGGGGAAGGGGACCCGCCTCCTTCTCCACCGCCTCTCTCCCCGCCTCTCTTTTCGGGGCGGGCGAAGGAGCTGGGTCCTTGCTCCCTCCCTTGATTCTTCCCTCTCTCTTTTCCCTCCGTCGTTCCCCTGCCGCGGCGGTCTGGTTCGGTCGCAAAGCACTTTGTAGCGCTTTTCTTCCCACAGACCGCGGTGCGGGTCACGGTCTCTGTTTCCTGAGGGTGCCCGCAGTGGTGCCTTGCGGTGTGGCTGGCTTTGTGGCTGCTGACGGCTGCACCAGCGTCTTCCATCGTGGCCCCTTCAGTCCGGCAGGCAGATGGACGCAGCTGTGCCTATGAGGGAGCAGGCAGATGGACGCTGCTGTGCCTATGAGGGAGCAGGCAGGCCCGCTGTCCAGCTAAGGGGCCCGCTGTCCTGCCCACACCAGGTTGCCCAGATTCCTTTTCCAACTAATGGGACCCCGCGGCCTCCTCAGCGCCGCTCCCTGAGGGCCSCAGCAGAGCCTGCGTGTGCCTCCCTTCCCTCTGAGGGGAATGCCGCCCTGGCTCCAGTTCTGGAGGGTTGGTACCGCCTGTGTCTCGCCGGGACACGATATCTCCAGTAYGTGTCCTTTGTGCCTGGATTTGTTCTTGGCTGGCTAGACTGCCATGGTGGGGGCGTTACTGGGCGGCTGAGTGCTTCAAACAGGGTGAAGACAGCCCCTTGTGAAAGGATTGCAGTGGAATGGAAATTTTGTCTGGGCCTGTTCACATTTCATCTGGCAGCCTTGGAATCAAAGGGATTTCTGCAAGATGGGATCATCCGCTGGGTCATGCTGTTGTTAAATTTTCTGAAAACCCTTTTTCCCCAGGCGGGGTAGGGAGGCCTTCTTGTGAGGTCTGCAGACATGATTGTGTAAGATGAGGAGAACAGTTCTGCCATGGGCTGTTGGGATTTTCCTTGAGTGGTGCTGGTGCTTGAGGAATTGCAGAGTGTAACTAAGGCCCCCTCAGTAAGAAACTGAACTTTTATTTTCCAGTGACTCGCTAACAAATCTTRCCAAATACCACAGACAGACAACAGCACCAGCTCGGTGAAAATTAATAAAGCAACATAAGCAACTGTGGCATTTAGTAAATAACATAACAGTAACATAACATTTAAAAACAAAACTAAAATGACAAACTAAATCTGTAGGCTCGGGAAAGCTGACATGGGGCTGGAAGGTAATTTGGCCAGTGAGGATGCTATATAGGTTTCACCTTTCACCTTGGCAAAAGGTGTTGAGGAGGAATGAAAGGATGTSTGATCAGTGTGTCCATTCCGTGGCCTTCTTGAGGCTTCCCTCTAGCTTCTTCACTTTGTGTTCACTGGCCACCACTAAAACCTTGTTGTTGAAATCAAAGCAGGCCTTGTCCATTTCCTTGGTTAAATTGAGTTCTGCCTACCTCTCCTGTGAACTTCATGCTCCTGGCCACCCCTGGTTTGTCAGTGCTTCCAAAAAGCCTCCAAGCATTTTATGTTTAGCTAAACTCCACACATGCTCTCCTTTTGTTAGTATCTTTGACATCCTGGACATTGCAGGCACTGGTTCCGGTAGACAAAGGGATAGATACATAAATCAGGTCTCTTTAATGCTCATTGTCCAATTTCAGAGATTAAAGGGATTGTTTATTTTTTCATCTTTCCTTTCCCTTGCAGTTTCRTGATGCTGCCTCCAGTGTTGCTATGTATTTTTGGAAGCCCCTGGCCATGGTAAGTGGTTTTGCAACTTAATTTATGTTCTCAGCACCATGCARGTAAATCAAATTACAACTCAAGTTATGCTCTTGACTGAACAATCTAGGCTTTGTCACTCATGATTCAGATTTATATACATAAGTTCTGTAGGTGAGGACTTCCACTGCTACTCTGGACTTTACATTGGATTGGTTTTGGTGTTATTCTAGCAGGTGTAACATGTTAATTGGGAACATCAATTTGGATTGAGAAAAGAGGAGGGTTTGGAAGCACTGTGAGTGTGTGAGAGACCTGGCAATCATGTTCTTGTTTGGCAGATGTTTGTCTCTTTCGTGTGGCATGTGGGAGAAAAAGCTCAAAACAAGTCTGAGTGCCAGTGGCAGAAGCTGGCAGAAGCTGGCTGTGTGCCTCCATCAGAACGAGGAGCTGGTGGTTTGGCACTGGAACTGCTGGCTGCAACCTCACGCACTGGTGAACAGATTGGCAAGGCACAGGGAGGCTGGAGCAGGCTGACAAGTCTAGCCAGAGGCAAAACTGAAATGCATTCATGCAAATGTTGCCTGGTTTGTTTTCCCTGAGCAGATATGGTCCTAGATTGACGCATAGGTAATTTTCCTTCTATTAATACTATAACTTTTCCAAATAAAACCAGTAGTTTTGGTAGAAATATTTCATTAGAGCTACCCTGTTAAAGCTAGGATAACCTGTGCACTAGATTCAGCTGTGGATGCTTGAGTGTAACTCTCTTTTTGTGGGACATTGCTCTCTTAAAACCATCCTTTTGAATTCTGACTTAAGTTTCCTACATTTTCCTGTAAAGTACCAAAGKATAATACTTGTGTAGCATTAAAAAAGTTCATAATTCTTGTCATCCTTCAAGTCAACATCTATTAATTTTTTTAAAGTACAAGTGGAGCTGGTTGAAAAATGGAAATATTTAAAAAATAAAAATGTTTTTAATTTAGAATCACAGAATCAGTAAGGTTGGAAAAGGCCTCTGAGACCATTGAGTCTAAACTATGACTGAACACCACTCTGCCAGCTAGACCATAGTAGTGAGTGCCACGTCTGGTCTTTCATTAAACACCTCCTGGGATGGTGCCTCCACCAATTCCCTGGACAAACCTTAATCACTCCYTCTGTGAAGAAATTCCTTTGAATGTCCAACCTAAACCTGCCCTGACATAGCCCGAGGCTATGTTCAAAAATGCTTAAAGCTGATTAGTATTTCTTTGGATAATTCTTAGGTAATKAAAATATTCTGCTTTTTTAAATACAGATATAAAATTGAAGTATTATCCAGTAATTCAAAAAATGGTTGGTTGCAAAGGAAACAGTTGAGGAATAATTTCAATAATTAATCCTAATATAATTCTAAAGTATACTCAAGTAAAATAACTTTTCAAAACAAATTAGATGTATTCAAAATAATTGTGAAAGTGACTGTGGCAGTTTTGCAATAGAGACATGTGAAGTAGGGATACTGAAAGATTTTTAATATTTTAGATATGGAAATAAGTAATTTGGCGAGTTTTGTGATTAAATATTCTCAGGTATCTGTCTTCATTGAAAATCAAATAAAACACGAAAAGCTGATCTAATATGCACTGATTTTAATATTTAAGTATTAAACTAATTAAGTGAGAGAAATTTGAGAGGTTAAAGTGGGGAAAGAGTTATGCTGGCACCTCCTTGTTTGCACTTTTTCTTCTGGTATGTATAAATGTCCTTGCTTTCAAATGTAATTATTTGRCCAACTGTGAAACAAGTGATATTTTAGAAATCAAGCAGAATTTGAGGAGCTCTCTAATTATTTGCTGAAACTGGGCAGGACTGACTGGGCAATCCTGCCTAGTTAGTGATTGTCGTCAAAGGGGCAGGAGGATCTCCAAGATCCAAGGCAGCATCCCCAGAGAGCAGGGACAGGTGACCACCAGGTGGCCCTGCTGTAGTGGAGARCTCCTCAGTACTTGGGAGGCCTTACACAATTTTTCACATAGCAACAGTTCAAAATAATTGGTAAAGTGCAAGTTACAATATACTTAAGGCAGAGTTTTTTTTATAGTGATCAATTTGTTTTTCATCTAGGTTTCGATTTTTTCCAAAAAGGAATAATACTTTTTGTCCCAATCCCACACAGATTTATTTATGTGTTTATATTTATTAGACAGATACTTGGCAAATTGATTACTTTGTTTGAGACTTCTCACTTGTATAAAATTAAGACTGTGCAGATGCATGTGCAGTATTAGGGAAACATCATTTAATTGGAAGAACTTCTTGTAGTTTTCTTGGTAGGGAAATGCAACAACTCAATTAATAAACATTTATTGAATTATTCTGGTTTTAAATCATTRCCAGCAGTCTTATGTTCAAAAAGTAGTTAAGAGAATTATGGCTAACTTTTATGTCATGGCAGAGTGATATGTGCAGAAGTTACTAAAAATTGGCAGACAGGATGGGATTTGTTTACCTATGATAACTCATTTGTAGTCTCATGATATTCTGTGTAATTACTGATTGTGCTGAGGGGTTTCCAGAAGTTCAAAGGGCTGTGGGCTGGGACAAGAGTTGCTCAAAAGAGGTCAAAAGGCATCACAGTGTTATGCATCCTAYGTTCAGCACAGAAAGGATATATGTGGCAAAATGACCATTTTGGAGTCACAATCCTGTTCTCTGGGGAAGATTTTGCAGAGTTGTACTGTAACATTCTGTGGGACTTGATGCTGGAAATACATTAAAATTACAACACCATTTGCCCAAATARAACGACATTCGTGTATGATTTGTAATTCTTACATCATAATGAGGAAGTTACTTGCTGCTTTGTGTAATATGCTTCAGAGCAGCAGCAGCAGCAGCAGTGGTGGTTTCCCTGCTGAGCTTTGACTGAGGCTGCAGCATTCACCCAGCTGAGATGAGGCCAGAAAGGAGTGGGCACAGCTCTCTGAGGAGGATGAAGGTGGAGGGTAGCAGCAGTGGAGGGCCAAAAGTACTTGATCACTGATGAGACCATGGGGTGTAATGGAAAGGCCTGCAGTGTGTGGGGGAGCTCCTGTCCTGTGAGACCTTTGTTAATTAAGTGTACTGAACGGGATGAGTTTGACAGAAAACCTTTATTAGTAAAAGTGTTCTCTTGAGACAGAAATCATTCCGCGTCTTGTTCAGGCACAGGAGGACCAGCAGTGACATCCATGTAGGCAAATTCCTCATTCATGACTCCTTGTGCCCCACAAGGTGAGGTGCTGATTGAGAAGGGCCTGGGCCAGGAGAGCATCTGCTGCGCTGGTCCCTCTGCTCAGCTTCCCAGGGCTGTGTCCTTCAGAAGAGCAGGACAGTGCGGATGCTGCAAAGTGGAAGGGAAGGAGGGTTTGTGTGTGCTGGGGTTCAGGAGCAGGCCGTGGGGCAGGCAGGTGTGCCTGGGGACCGCCACCTTCTTTGTGCTCCAGCCCCTTCCTGACTGAGCTGCATGAGATGTGCAGCAGCRGGGCAGCCTTCACATCCCTGCTGAGGGGAGCCCCTCAGGGGATAAGGCCACAGGATCTGTGAGGAGCTGACCCATGAGCAGGAGGGTTCCCTGTGCTGAATGTGGGTTCCTCCCTCTGGGCTATGGCAGATCTTCCCAACACTCAACTGTGACGCCTCAAAAGGCTCAGGTGCTCTTTGGGAAGCCCATGTTGCAAGCTCTGCCTGTTTGAATTTTAGGAGGAGGGGGTGTTCGCTGTACCTGGCTCGTGCTGGTCAGGGTCTCACCTTTTTCCTGTGAGTAACAACTCAAATCCTTCATTCACTTTATCAAACGGCAGCGTGTGTGTGATCAGCAAGTCTGGGTTGAATTTCTTCTCCAAATAACTGGAAACTAATTTGGGAAGACATTCTCTTGTCTTCCAGCCTAGAAATAGGAGAAAGCAGCAGTATGAATAACGAGAGAAATGCTGTTTTGGTAAGGTACTGTTATTGTGAGGGTCAGGACTGAGTGAGCAGTASTGGTRTCGKTCTCTTGTGAGGTATTTTCTTCTCTTTGGGATGAATGGGTTACTGTGTGAAATGGGTACAGGTTTATTTGCAWRTCTAATGTTAATATTCAATATGGTAGAAATGCAGTGCGCCTCTTAAGTTGTCTTTTACTTGAAGACCATCTTTAATGTGATTGGTCAACTACCATGAAAGAGAAAGCTGAAGTATTTAAAACATTTTTTTTAAGTTTCATACCTCCCAGCACACTCCCCTTCCATGTACGYCCAGTCARCAGAAGCATGGGATCGATGGATAGGTCTAAACCAGAATCCATTTGTCCAACCATCACACAGACACCAGTATTCATATTGCAGGAAGCCAAGGCAGCAACCTGATGGGACAGGCAGGTGAATTAGAGAAAGCCCCGATGAGCTGGTCAGGAAAATCTTCTTTCTSTGCAATCTCCTGCCCCTTGTCTCCTGCCCCTTGCAATCTGAAAAGGTCATGCCTTGTGGAGCAGAGCTGGAGAGCTTGGGTCCTCTTTTGAGACCCATATTGTGTTTTCTCTCACAAAGATGTGCCTAGCAGTTCAGGCAGCAGGCAAGGAGCTCCCACTGATTGGGATGAATTTTGTCCTGAGRGGAGCCTGTRAGTGAAATGGGAGGGAGGACAGATGCTGAAATGTCACCTACCATGGTTTCTGCTTTTCCAATGGCCTCAAAGGAGTAGTCCACTCCCTGCCCGGTCATCTCAGTGAGCACCTCCTGGATGGGTTTCTTGAAGTCCTGAGGGTTGATGCAGTCGGTGGCTCCCAGCTGCTTGGCCTTGGCAAACTTGTCCTTGTTGATGTCCACGGCAATGATGCGGGAAGCTCCAGCCACCTTGCAGCCCATGACAACAGAGAGGCCAACTCCTCCGAGGCCAAAGACAGCACAGGTGGAGCCTGGTTTTACCTGCACAATGTGGAGCCCTGTGAGTCTCCAGAGGGAAGAGGAGGAGGAGGAAGGGGAGGTTTCTTTTGCACAGGTTGGTGAGGATGCGTGGTTGGTAATGGGGTGCTGAGTATGTTCAAATACCAACCTTGGCTGTGTTGATAGCAGCCCCATAACCTGTGGAAAACCCACAGCCAAACAAGCAGACTTTGTCCAGAGGTGCTGCAGCATCTATCTTGGCAACKGCGTACTCTGGGACCACGGTGTATTCTGCAAAGGTGCTGACCCACAGGAAGTGGTGGATCTGCTTCCCTTTGCAAGAGAAGCGGCTGGTCTTGTCTGGCAGCAGGTTTTGTGGTTCACAGACACTGCAGCGAGRTGCAAAAATTTGTATTTCATTGACTATAACACTGATGGGGGTCTCAGGCTTGTTATAAGGTCAACTCCATGTAGGTGAGGGGGAAGGAAAAGCAAACTCACGTGGACTTCTGGCATATATTTGCTTCAGGATTCAGGCAGAAGCTGCATTTCCCACATTGAGGGACACAAAGTGGGATGACTTTGTCCCCTGGAAAGAAACAACATCCCATATGAGGTGGCCCTAAGCTCAAGTGCTATCTGTGTGAAAGCAGAGTTTGTGCATGTCAGTTACCTGGTTTCATGGAGGTCACTCCTTCTCCAACGCTTTCCACAATTCCAGCTCCTTCGTGGCCRGGGATAAYTGGGAATTCTGCATCAGGAAAGYAGCCTTGTCGAACGCGTTCATCTGTGTGACAGATGCCAGTGGCCACAATCTRTTTGGAGAGGAAATGGTAATGTCYYGGCCTYYGTCATACTCAGTTTGTGGAAGCAATTTTCACATTGTTATGAGTTACATGAGGGCAMTGTTACAWTGTCCCCTCAGTGAGTGCTGACACTCCATGGAAGCACACTGTCCCCAGGCTGGGCTTCCCCCTTCTGCTCACTCTCAGTGCTCCATGTGGCTTTTCTCTTTCTGAGCTGGAGGTAGAACTGGGAAGGAGGAACAGTGTGGGTACCAGGATTTTGTCCAGCTGAGCAAGGGCTGGAGACAGGAATTCCTATGGGACAGCTTAGGTGAAGATTAGACTTAGAGGTCACTCCTTAGAGGGAACCGCTGGCAGATGGTGCATTTGAACTTAGGCAGCCCTGGACAATTAAAGCCTCTTGGAGGACACAGATCCCTGAGTTCTATCCATGGTACAGCCGCAAGAAGAGCGACTCCAACAAAGGAGGAAAATAGTACTGAAATGKATTTTTACCTTGATRCGGACTTCCCCTGCCTTTGGAGGTGCAACTTCCACCTCTTCAACAGAGAGAGGTTTGCCGGGGGCCCAGGCAACAGCAGCCCTGCACCGGATAACCTGGAAGCAACCAAGAGGATTACAYTGCATGGGAACATTTGTCTTTAGCAGGTGACTGGGGGAAATCATCCTACAATCACCTGAACCCAAGGTGTTCAAACTTGGTGGTTTTCAGCTGCATCTGGAACTAAGGGATGTTCAATAAACACTGGCCTAGTCTAAGTTCTGAGGAAACCCCATTTATGGTTTGTCACYCAAAGGGGATCAGATAAAACCTTAGAAAAGTATTGTGTTTTAATGGTTTTGGTGGATTTTTCATAATGTTTCCATAGGTTAATGGCCAGATTGTGCTCTCATTGGGACTGTGGACCCTACCTAGTGGAAATCATATTAAGTGTTGTGGTGTCAGTCTTGCAAAATATTGGGCTCAAGGTGAGTCAAAGTCCTTATGGACCGGTCCCCATCTGATTGGCAACTGGATAATTTTTTTCCCTTACCAAGATTTGATTTGTGTCTGACATTACTTAAACCCTTCCCGATCAACCCTAAGC